AATATCTCAATAAAACAGGTTTTAAAATATTTAACTAGAGATAAACATCTATATAAATACTGTCAGTGTAAAAAGCAGATTAAAGCATATTTCAACACATTAGAAACATTTCAGAAAAAAGTTTTGTTTTCCAAGTTTATGGTTCCCTGAGACATTAAGGCAGTTCTCTAAGTTTTTCTTTAAATAAATAAAATATGCTCCCAAGAGAGTTTCCCAAGAGACCTGAACTTTATAACTGTGATTAGTTACTCCAATCCTAACATTCTGTGACTGCAATAATAATAATTAATCTTTTTATGCCATAGTCCCAAGAGCAATTCTAAACCAAATCTCTACAGCTGGACAAAAAATATTAATTATCAAAATTCATCCCTTTGCAATCACTTTAACACTAGCAAGGTAATATTACTTTCTGGAGAAGCTAAATAAAGTAGATACATGTAAAATTAAGTCATGATATGCCTGGCGAATGACCAGGAGTGACTAAACTAGAAAGTTTAGAGTGGCATTTTAATGAATGCAACCATGAATTTTTCTAACAATCAGGGCCATTCAAGTAGAATATGATGCTTCAAGAAACAGTGAGCTTAACATCACTGGACAACTTGGCAGAGACATTGCAGGATATTTTAAGACCAGGTTGGCTCATATGCCCTTTAAATTTCTATTCTAATCTGACATCCTATAGTTTTGAATAATTCCAAGTTTCTAAATAGAGCCACAGAAGAAATGGAAAACCACTGAACAGGCAGGAAATTACATTACTACAACTGAAAAAAAATCTAAGAGGTGGGAAACTTTCATCACTTTCACCAGAGATGTAAAGTACAAGTCAGAGGACCTGCCCTTCATTCAACTTTGTATGACTTCTAGATTAGTCAACAAAACCAGTCATTCAGCTCCATTAGCAGAAATGCGACCCTGCATATATATTACTTGAAACTCAGAGGAATATACTAAAACTGAGATACACTAAGTGTATAAAAGAAAAGGTTAAATGATAACGTAACACACAGACATTCTTAGTATAAGTCAAGACTTAGACTTTTACCAGGAGAATAAGAAAAGAACTGGGAAAAGTAAGCAGAGGTTATGAAAAAACAGTTTTTTACTCAAATGAAGAAAGAAAGAGTACCTAAGTGATAATAACCACTTGGTGTGGTTTTGAAAACAGGGTTAAATAGCATGCTGGCAAGAATCTCAGACAAGGACTGAGAGAGATTCATATGGAATTTAAAACTAAAGGAACAAAAGTAGTTTAGAAATAATGGATGGAATGAAGTAGTGAAAAATACCCAAAGTTCAAGCTTCTTAACATATTTGAATGAAAAAATGCCAACAGTTCTACAATCAATATGATGTAAGTATACTTCATTATGTAATAATATACTTTATTAAGTGTACTTTATAATGTACTTATTATGTAATTATTCATATTTATATGTTAATCAGAGTCTTACTAAATTTGTTTACATGTATATTTTGCAAATTAAAGTGAGATTACTGCTCTGCCAAAATTTTTTTAGTAATGTTAGAGTCAAATATCATAGATTTAGTGTATGTAAATAGGTGTTTTTAATATACTTTAGTTACAATTAAACTTTTCCACATTTTACTTATGGCCAGTCACACAGATCTCGAATTATCACTAAACCTCTCCCTCACCACATCTTAGTTCTTTCTTGTTCATCCTTCCCCAGCCCTGTGTTCCCAAACATCGATGGAACATGACAGAGGTCTCCATCACTGTAGTACACCCTCTCTCTGGCCCTTGATTCAGGCATTCAGGCTCTCCTCCTTTTAGAAATGAAGAAGGTAAGATTCAGGTTGCTTGAGCATCTTATTAAAGAGTACAAAGCTATGAGTTGCCAAACAAGAAATAAAACATGGGTTCTCTGATTTTAAAACCTGCTATACTTTCTCCATTATTTAACACTTTTCCAGACTATATCTGGAATCTTGAAAAGTGCAAATGTGCAATTATATGAAAATTTTTAAAGATTCACAGAAATGGTATTGAAGAAAAATACTAAAAGAAAAAATTTGAAAGCCTTAACTTAGCAAGGTTACAATTAAATTGCTCTCTACAATATTGTCATTGTCAAGAACATTTCCTTCTAGACATGATGGGCTCCTGTGGGAGCAGAGATCATGTAGGAAAACTGAAACAAACCCAAAGGGTTTTTTTCACCATCATAAAGTTGAAACTCCACAGAGGAGAGCAATGCTATGTCTTCTGTTCTCAAAGAAGTGCATGTGATCCAAATGCAGCCGGAAAGAGGCTCTCGATGCCATTTTTCCCATGATTACAGGACACTGTGACAACCACAGCAAACAGCAACTCCATGGGTGTCCAAACATCCCAGGTTTTTGTAGTTCAAGAATGGCATAATGCTTTTGAAGGTTCTACACTGTCTCACTTTTACAAAACCAGAGGGAATCAAGCTCCTCTCAGGGCCATTAAAGACTATGTAGGCAGGAAAGAAAATGGAGGGCACTAATATAAATGTTGCAAAACAATTAACTAGATAAATGGAAGGAATAATGGAATAGATGATAGGCAGCTGCACAAGAACCCACAGTATATAGTGCTGTCAGTGATGAAGATGGGTAGGGATGAATGAAAGGAATTAGCAAAGCATTTCTACTTGTCTACACGGTATGATGTATTGTTTTTATATTAGACCCCAATAACATTAATACTTGTCCATCCAGATACGGTAATGCCTTTTTGTGCAACAGTATCAGTTTAGAAGTTTATTGTCTGGGTGCAGGAGCAGTGGAAAGAGTTTCTGCTGGTACCAAGGTCCTATTTTAATAGATGAGAACCTTTGGAGTATTTTGATAACTGAAAAAATTAAATAAAATGCTTCATAATCATTTTGAAGATTACCATAAGAAATGGAATATGCATCTGTTAGTGTAAACTGTTTCTTCCATCCTAGGCTTTCCCTGCTTGTAATCCTCCCCATCTCTAAACTATGAAAGACCTAATGTATTAGGCATCTTGGTTTTTGCATCCCTTCCCCATCACCAGCACTAATATTGCAGCATAGTTATCCAGAACTATATAGGTTCCATGTACAAACTAGAGAAAAAGTGGCACACACACACCAAAACGATACAGAATATGCTAAATGTCTGTATTTGGTACATGAAAATGCAGACTGCAGAGTTCACCATTACTTAACCTTGGGGCAGCTGCAACCCCATGCTTAAAAGGGGAGCTCCTTAAATTCCAATTTCTTTATTTAATAAATAAATGAACACCTCTTGCACTCAATAAATGGGGGTGACGTAGATAGGGTGCCTGCCTTCACTGAAAACAAAACAAATATGTAGACTGGAAAGGAATATATAGATGATTGATGATTTTCTTTTATAAATGTTAAAACGAAGGCCAAAATTAAGGATTTAACAGAAAGTAAATAGAATTCTACAAATTTAACAGCAAGTCAAATTACTCAGCTCTAATTACATTTGAAAATTACCCTTAGATGGGTGGATACCACTATGCATTTGTACAAAATTTTACAATTTAGAAATGGCAAATAATTTTAAGAAACCAGTATTTCCCTATCTAGAACAAAGAAGGTAAAGATAAAAACTTTCTTATTAAAAAATAAGGTTAACTTGATCTGTAGGATAAATGAACACTAAATAGAAATAATGAGGCAACACAGGGACCACAAAAAGTCACAGCTAATTTTGCATATGAAAATCTGTTCAGAAAAAAAAGTCCTTCATGCAAAGTAACTAAGAAGTCCTCTTCCCAGGGAGAGTCTGAGGAAAATGACCCCTTTACAGAGGAGCTGGATAGGTTCCAAACTCAGGGAGAAACTAGGTCAGAGTTCATAAATTGGTCATTTTTAACTTAAAACTAAAGGATTATCCACAAAATAATACATCAAAGACAGTGTGTTTCAACTGAATTATATAGACATGCACTATATATTCAGCAAAGTAGAGAACTATTTAAAGATTAAACTGAGAGTTTCAAGCACCACCTATTTGCATCCACTTTTTTTTGCACTACTATTAATAAGCTGATCTTAAAATGGTTGAAAACAATATACAATAAAAGGTATGTATTTGAGAGAATCTGTAAGAATCAGCTGGGGAAGGGGAGGGAAAAAGTTGTTTATTCCTCTGGATGCTGCTGTAGACATGAGGTTACAAGGAACAAAGAAGAAACATACTGATCATGTTCCCAAAAGACTTTTTTCCAATATATACAACGATTTTTGCAAATTATGAACTACATATCATTGGCCTACTTGTTCTGTAACAGTGTGCACATCAAAACTGTATATCATTATAAGAAATAAAAACAACCTTATGTAGCCTTATAAAGAGATCAATTATTATTACACCAAAATATCTTGAGTCCAACTAGATATTACACTGATACCCAACACAGTATCAGTAACAAAACTGAGTAGAGATGAATACAGGTTCCCTTCTATTTGACTATCTAGGCCTACTTTCATAGTTTCTGCCCTTTTATTTAGATACTACCTAAAAAGTTCAAATAACTTTGGAAAAAGTAACTCAACTTTTATTAATATTACCTTCCTCCATTTTCCAAATTTACAGGATTCTCAAGTAAGTAAGTCTCTCTTTTTAGGTACAGAATTTAGCTGGGAAAATCGGTCAGCAGGAGTGAGAGACAGAAGGGAAGGAGCAATGGGTAAAAGAAAATAAAATTATAAATACTAGAGTTTTATGACACCCTGGAGATAATTTCATTCAACCCAAAACCATAAATATAAGAATACTGAGGTCAGAAGAAGTCCAGTATTTTAGCCAATGCATCACACGTTTATTAGGGTCCCAGGCAGGAGGAAACCAACTTACTCTGAAATCTTAACTCAAAGGGTTTTCTTTTTTCACTTCATCTTATCATTGATATTGTGAGTTAAAAATGTGTTTACGCTGACTTTCATCCCTATATTTTGTTACTTCTTCAGAGACACATTGCCCTCTGGACATTGCATGCAATGGAGGTACAAAATCGGACCACAGTGACTGAATTTATGCTGACTGCCTTCCCTGTGCTCCAGGACCTTCAGATTTCCCTTTTCCTGTTTCTCTTGTTCACTTACATGCTTACTCTAATAGGAAATATTGTCATCATATCTCTAATATGGGTTGATCATCGCCTGCAAACCCCAATGTACTTCTTCCTCAGTAATCTGTCATTTTTGGACATTTTATACACGACCTCAGTTACCCCAAAGCTCTTAACCTGCCTCCTAGAAGACAGGAAAACCATATCTTTTGCTGGCTGCATCACCCAAACATACTTCTTTTTTTTCCTGGGGACAGTGGAGTTTATCCTCCTGGCAGTGATGTCCTTTGACCGCTATGTGGCCATCTGTAACCCCCTGCGCTACCCCATCATCATGAACAGCAGGGCCTGCCTCCAGCTGGTTCTGGGCTGTTGGGTGGGGGCCTTTCTGTCAGTGCTCTGCCCAACCATTGTTGTGTCCCGATTGCCTTTCTGTTACAAAGAAATTAATCACTTCTTCTGTGACATTGCCCCTCTGCTACAGGCGGCCTGTATTGATACTCATTTCATTGAGATGGTAAACTTTTTATTATCTTCCCTCATCCTCCTGACCTCCCTGGTGCTCACCACCATTTCCTACACCTACATCATTTCTACCATCCTGCGCATCCCCTCAGCCCAAGGCCGTCACAAGGCCTTCTCCACCTGTGCTTCTCACATCACTGTTGTCTCCATTGCCTATGGGAGCAACATCTTCATGTATGTGCGGCCCAGCCAGGACTACTCACTGGATTTCGACAAAGTGACAGCTGTTCTCACTACAATGGTGACCCCTCTTCTGAACCCCTTCATTTATAGCCTCAGGAATGAAAAGGTAAAAGAAGTTGTGCGAGAAGCGGTAAACCAAATTATGTCCTTGTGTAGGAGAACTTGAAACTTTAATGCACAGGGGAAACTTGAGAGTTTATTTGCTAAGAATGGCAACTTTCAACACTGGGACTCAATGTGCAAAGGGGCATGTCTGAAGACCATAAAATCAAGTATCTGTGGGAAGATAGGAAAAGGCTTCATGCCACATTGGATGTGAAGAAACATTGTGGTCAAGCTCCAGAGGAGGCAACTCAGCCATAGACAAAATAGCATGTCCTAAGCACTATCATTGGACCATCTAGCACACAGAAAATCACGGGTCAGTGAAAAATACTGAACCAAAGTCAGAAAAACTGAATATGAAACCTGGATTTACAACTTTTATCTGGTTACATTTAGACTATCTGAACCTTAGTTTTTCATCTGTAAAATGGGGACTATAGTTTATGTTTTTTCTTTTACTTTTTGTTATTGTAGGCTTAACTTAGATGGTCCAAGAACTATAACCACATATAGTTGAAAGTGAACACTTCTTATTGAGTCTTTACAGATATTGCAAGGTGACAGCTAAATGTTATGGATAATAATAAGAACAACAACAAGGAAGAGGAGTAACATAACTCAGGGTTTGTACAATATGGTTAAATATGTGCATATATATATTGTTTAATCCTCTTGACAACCTTGAGAATCTGATATTATCTTCATTTGATAGATAAGAAAACTGAGGTTCACAGAGGCTAAGCATCTTGCCCCAAACTAGCACACTGGCAGAAATTTAGAGTATATAAACTCCAGTCTACTTTATCACCTCACTATATCATGAAGTATGGAACAAAAAGAAACTTAAGAGAGTAAACAGAAGTTAACCTGAAAGTTTTCCATTTTTCTGAGGCCTGAGCATTCTTGGCCTGCCCAAATAATCTGGCCAACCAGTCAATCAGGGCATATGTAGATACAGTCAGAATAGACTGTGAGAGGCAATTGGTTCAAAAAGACAAGCAATCATTCAGAGGGCATAAAGGCATGAGTCTAGACTGGTCATCTGTGGCAGCTTGGCAATGTGGCCATTATCTACAGAAGAATAAGTATCAGGACAACAAAAATTTAAAAACAAAAAACAGCCAAAATCTCCAGAACATCAAATTCTGTAGAAATCCAACAACCAAGGAGTTAAAGAAACATTCTTCCAAACTGATAGGAGGGGCAGAGATGGGCAGTCAAGGTGGAGAGGACATGCAGCAAGGTGGTGGCTAGAAGACCAGGGGGGCAAGGCAGCAGCTGACAGTTCCACATTTGCATGAGGATAAACCAGGAGGAACACCTAGGGAGTGACACAGACCACACAACCCAGGGTTCCAGAAATAAAACTAAGTAATGAGGAGATGCTGAATCTATCAGATGCAGAGTTCAAAACACTGGCAATCAGGATGTTCACAGAAATTATTCAGTATGGTCACAAAATAGAGGAAAAAGTAAATGCTATGCAAAGTGGAATGAAGAAAAATATACAGGGAACCAACAGTGAAGGAAAGGAAATGGGGACTCAAACCAACAATTTGAAACAGAAGGAAGAAATAAACATTCAACCAGAATAGAACAAAGAAACAATAATTCAAAAAAAATGAGGAGATGCTTTGGTACCTCTGGGACAACTTTAAACATTCCAATATCCAAATCATAGGGATGCTAGAAGGAAAAAAGGAAGAGCAAGAAATTGAAAACTTACTTGAAAATATAATAAAGGAGAACTTCCCTAATCTGGCAAAGGAAATAGACTTCCAGGAAGTCCAGGAAGCTCAGGAAGCTCAGAGAGTCCCAAAGAAGTTAGACCCAAGGAAGTACACACCAAGGCACATCATAATTACATTACTCAAGATTAAAGATAAGGAGATAACCTTAAAAGCAGTAAGAGAAAAGGAGACAGTTACCTACAAAGGAGTTCCCATAAGGCTATCAGCTGATTTTTCAAAAGAAATCTTGCAGGCAAGAAGGGGCTGGAAAGAAGTATTCGAAGTCATGAAAGGCAAGGACCTACATACAAGATTACTCTATCCAGCAAAGCTATAATTTAGAATGGAAGGGCAGATAAAGTGCTTCTCAGATAAGGTCAAGTTCAAGAAGTTCATCATCACCAAGCCCTTATTATACAAAATGTTAAAGGGACTTATCTAAGAAAAAGAAGATCAAAACTATGAACAGTAAAATGACAATAAACAGACAACTATCAACAACTGAACCTAAAATGAAAACAAAAACTAAGCAAACAACTAGAACAGGAACAGAATCACAGAAATGGAGATCACATGAAGGGTTAACAGCAGAGAGGGGAACAAGGGAGGATGGAGGAAAAGGTACAGGGAATAAGAAGCATAAATAGTAGGCACAAAATAAACAAGGGCAGGTTAAGAATAGTATAGGAAATGAAGAAGCCAAAGAACTTATATGTACAACCCATGGACATGAACTAAGTGGGGAATGCTGGTGGGAGGTAGTTGCCGGGCATAGTGGAATAAAGGGGAGAAAAATAGGACAACTGTAATAACACAATCAATAAAATATACTTAGAAAAAAAGAATAAGTATCCTAGGATTTGGCTAGCTTAAGTAAAACAGGCTTTATTATAAAAAATAGTCAAGTGTGCCAAACAGAACCTCAGAAGGGAAGAAATGGCAGGACCTGCTGAGGGACTAGAATCAGGAACTAGAAATACTTAAGGATCTAAGGCAGATAACCTCTTCCCTCTTAATTTCTGATCTCTCCCTAGCTCTCTCTAGGGTCAGTCTCCATATGACTGTTCATCTGTTTAAATCTTGTGTGGTAGGCCAAATGATGATACCCAAAGATGTCCTACCCAAAGATGACATCCAAAGGTCCTAACACCTAAAACCTATGAAAGTAACAGGTAAAATATATACAGCAAAGAGATTTTGCAGATGTGATTAAATTAAGGGCCTTGAGATAGGAAGATTATCTTGGATTATCCAGGTGGATCCTAACTACAATTACCTGTCAACCTATGATAGAGGTAGAAGGGAGATTTTATCGCAGAAACGATGGTACCATATTTTGCCACGTATAATGCCACATTTTTGCCCAAATTTTTTTAAAAAAATAAGAATGCACATTATGCACATGGGTATAATCATTTCATACCATGGGTATAATAATGGGTATAATAATGCCATATATAATGCGCACAAAAACATGGGTAAGCATTATACACGGCAAAATGCTGAATGCAACAATGGAAGCAGAGGAATTGGAAGATGTTATGCTGCTGTCTTCAACAATAGAATGGGCCCAGAACCATACCCTGGCTCGTGTGGGTAAGTGGATTGAGTGCCAGCCTGCAAACCAAAGGGTTGACAGTTCAATTCCTAGTCAGGGCACATGCCTGGGTTGCAGGCCAGGTCCCCAACAAGGAGCACATGAGAGGCAACCACACATTGATGTTTCTCTCCCTTTCTCCCTCCCTTGCACTCTCTAAAATAAATAAATAAAATCTTAAAAAAAAAAATAAAAAGAATGGGCCCAGAACCAAGGAATGTGCCTCTACACACTGGAAGAGCAAGAAATATGAACAACTTAGTTACTTGAAGTTGTAGGACCAACGTCCCATATTCTTGGTGTCTATGATCAAAGGGCCATTCCCAGTCTCTAGAAGGTTCTGTAGTCCTTGGCTCATAGGCCCCCTTTCTCCACCTTCAAAGCCAACAAGAGTGGGCAAGTGTCTCATGTTTCAAATCTCTCCTCCTTTTTCTTCCATTTCCTCTCTGATTCAGCTGTGGAAAGTTTTTACCTTTTAAGGACTCATTTGATTGGATTTGACCCACCTAAATTATTAAGGATAATAACACCAACTCATGGTATATATCCTGAGTGACATCTGCGAAGTCCCTGTTGCCAAGTAAAGTAGCACATTCACAGATCCTGGGGATTAGAGCACCGACTTCATTGGGTGCCACTATTCTGATTACCAAAATTATATTCCTCGTGTTAACAATCTAGGATAGTAAAAATAAAAAAGAGGACATGGTATGGCTTTTAAATACTAAATCCTAAACCCTCTCTTTCATTACTTGCAAACAGAAGAATTTGTAGCCCCAAAGTATGAAGGACTGGTGAAAAGCAGCAAAATATCTGGAAAATACATATTTTTTCCTTTTTGTTAAACTTATCTGGGTGACACTTGTTAACCAAATTACACAAGTTTCAGGAGCACAATCCCACAACACATCATCTCTACACTGTTCTGTGTGCTCACCACCCTTATTCAAGTCCCCATCTAGCACCATTTATCCGCCCATACACCCTCCTCTACTTTCCCTCACCTCCCCTACATATTTTAATTAGCTGTTCGGTTTTATTAAATAATTGTTACATAGAGATGAATATAATTATTTCTTTGTGCTATTTTAACTTTTAAATAAATCTTTACTTTCTCAAAAGCCCCATTCTGTTATTACTACAGAAAAGGAAATCCTGAACAAATAAGATAATTGGGTACCAACATGATTTCATTACTCGGTACCCAAGTAGAACTGGCCAAGGTTGGGCTAGCCTTGAAACTGAAAATGCAAAAAGACTTCATTAACTCTAGAAAATAATTTGAACATACTACTTTACTTTGATATTGATTATTATGATGGTTATCAACATTGTTACAATAGCAGATTGCCGCGGCCAGCGAGGCAGTGGGTTCGAGACGCGCAGTGACGGACTGAAAAGAGAGAGCGGCCAGATGCTCTGGTGGCAAAAGGCAAGTTTATTGAAAACTCCTGTCATTATATAGTGAGATGTTCTAAAAATAGAATGCTTGCTACGCGATGAGAGTCTTTGTTCAAGAAAGTTTACACACCCCTTCAGGTCACGTACAGAACATCCCGAGACATGACAAACATCCTGGTTTAGATTAACTCCAAGGACACGACGCACCGCCCCAAGGCGCCGGCACCTCCCCGTCCTTCTCTTGGGAACAATCCAATAACAAACAAGGCCGGGGTAGTGTCAGGTCACCTCCCCCGAGGCCAAGGAACAGGCCCAAGCATCATTCTCACAATG